TCCAAGTGGAGCAAAACGTGTTTACATGTCCTGGGACCCCCAGGGAGTCCGTAGGGTGAAGTGCCTCTACGCCCCTCTGGTTTAGAGCCAGCTGAGACCCTCCCCAAGAAATATCAGGCAAACTCCCCTTTCGCCGGCAGCAGTGCCCGGCGGAGCGAGGGGTCCCCCTCTGCCTGCAAGGAGGGATGAGGGATGCTGCCCTGCGTTTAGGGTTCCGGGGCGGGGGGGAGTACGTCCAGATATGGGTATTTTTAATGAATTCTTCCCTGGCATCGTTTGGGGGAGCTTTTTAGGATGACTACGCCTGCATTTACCTAACTTCAGTACAAACCAAAGAATTCAGCCCTGGGGTCGGAGGGAGGTGAGCAGCTCGTGGAGGGGGCCGGGGAGAGCAGAGGGCTGGCGGGCCAGGATGCGGCCGCTTGCAAACCACGTCGGTCTCGGGTCCCTGCACTCGCGCCCAGTTTTTGATGCAGTATTTCAGCGGGGATCTGGGGAGGGAGACCTCGGTATCTGCATGTCGCGAGCCAGGCTGAGCATTTTCACGCGAGGGATGGCGTCGTAAGCGGTGATCGGGATTCCATCCTCTCATTGCAGTTCCTTTGTTTTTTTTTCCCCCCCACTGTAATAGACTTTTTATAATGATGGAAAAGTTGTGGGATGAATGGAAAGTAATCAAGGGGTAGGCAGGAACGAGGTTCCTCACAAAGATATGGTGTCTCAATGAAGGTAAAAATTTAGATTGCCTGCAGATAGAAATAGTTACTCAGCGAGTGCTATATCTTAGAAATGTGTCTGTTTTTTGAAAAAAAAAAAAAAAATAGGAAGGGGATGGTAAGCTCAGGATTAGACTAGATCACACAGCAAGGCTGTGGATTCTCCATCAGTGGAAGTATTAAGAGCAGGGTCTGAGAGCAGGTCCTGCTTTGGGCTGCGATGCGCAGTGTCCTGGCTGTGAAGCCCTGGACTGGTGTCGCGGGGTGCCTGCAGCATCCTGCGGCATCCTGCAGCATCCTGTAGCATCCTGCAGCATGCTGGGGACCGGAGCAAACTCAGGGAGCCCTGCCGCCAGCGAGAGCATCGCCTCTGCAGGGTGGCTCAGGGGGAGTTTTCAGTATTGCTCGGACTCGGGTTTGATTCCTCTCAGCAGCTCTTGAAGCAGCGACCGAACGCGTAGAGCCGCTCCCTGTTGTGTTTCGGGGTTTCTGGGGTTCATTTCTCGCTGGGTTTTCAAGGCTGTGGGAGAAAGGGGACGTTTTTCATTTGTGTTGGGTGGGAAGACTTCTACTGGGTGAACTCCTGTGTCACGTAGGAAGGGTTTTATCCATCCTTTAGGTTGTATTTGAGCATCCGATTTCTGAGACCCCATCTCTGAGCCGAGGGGGAATAAGCAAATTTGGAAAGAAATGAAGAATTGATGGCTGCTGGTGTTATATAGGGCTCCTTTCTCAGTGCCGCAGTGCTCTCCGTGAGACGAGATGCTCTTCTTTCGGGTCGCATCTGAATCTCTCTCGCTGTTGTTCTCGCTGTGTCTCGTTGACGGATCACTCGGCACCAGTGTGCGCGCCTGTCTGTCTGTCTGTCCCACCCGCAGGTGCCTCTGCCTCCATCCCCATCCGTCCGTGTTCGTCTTCCCCTTCCTTTTGGCAGGCAGCAGCCGCCTGGATCCGCCGAGGTGCATGTTTGTGGGGGGATTCTCCCCATTTTTCAGACCAGGGAAGCTGCGTTGGGAGCTGGGTGGGGGGGAAGCAGGGTTTGCCCCCCTCCCCAGTCCTCTGAGTGCCTGCGCCCATCTCCCACAGGTGCCAGCTCCCGGGAGCCCAATGTGCCTCCCTCCGCAACCGGGGGTTTCTCTGGCTGGGCATTTCGGCAAAGGCAAACCCGTGGTCCGTGCTGTGCTGGCAGTGTCCGTCTCTTGCTCCACAATCTTTTTCCATATTTATATGTCCAGGGGATGGGCCCGGCGGCATCCTCTAAAACTGCATCTGTTTATTCTGTAAACTAAAGAACTGTAAATAAAGTTTAGCATTCCTATTGTAACAAATTAATTTTTATGCAATAAATTATATTTCCTAGTCTAATAAAAAAAAAAAAAGAAACAATCTGCTCACCCCTCTCATG